TCTATTCATTTCTGAATGAAGGCATGTTAGGAAAGCATGTGAAATCCACAGTGAAATATGGGAACTGCAATGAAGTTGGAAATAACATAAAATTGAAACAAAGCAGAATATACAGAGAAAACCTGATTTTTCCGTTGGCCTTTTTGCTTAGCAGAAAAAAAAGTAAGCACACTGCCTTTCAAATTTCTGCAGCTAAGTTACGGCCTTAAGATGTCTATGAGAAATATTTGTGGGATTCTCTAATGATTATTTAAAAGAAAGTGATTCTAATGGATGTTCGGCTTGTTCCTCTGACTCTCAGTTTCATTCCTTGAAAATTGGTGGTAATGGCTAGAGTGTCTCCACCCACTTTGCAATAGGAAGTAACTCTGAGGAGAGAAGCCATGTATGCTGTATAAGGGAAACACGGATCTTTGAAAAACAGTGGAGCAATAGTTTACTTGAATGTTTTGATTTCAGACTCTGTGCTTAGGTAGTAGGGTTTTATTTTGTTTAAGATGTTTGTTTTGCTCGTGTTGCTCAGTAAGCATTCCAATTAAGCCCAAATTAAGACTCAGAGTTGGACTATATTTGATCACTCCATGAATCAGCATCCTTCACTGTCAGTTGTTGCTGTGTGCTAAAGAATAGACAGAAATGTGCTCTTCTTAGCAAGTAATGGCTTGTTAGGCCCAAACAAAACTAGGTCATGTGCTTCTTGTTTCTAGTTGAGATTTGGTGTTTTTGTACTCTCTGAGAGATTGGTATATATTATAGTATTCTGTTTTTATGACAGAAAACCCACTGTGAATATACCCTGAAAGGTTGGCAGGTAGATTAAGAATACCTTGATGGAATTGTGAATTAAGTGAATTCTCTGCTGTCTAAAAAAGGCAATGATATCCTTACATGGTCCACTGAATCAGTTAACGTTTTTTAGACTAGACTTCAATATAGTTATGAGTGTTCAGTTAACCAACTTAGGTCTAACCTCACAGGGTTCACTTGTGTCTAAGAAGAAAAGAGAAAAGAAATTGGACAAAGCCTGGGACATATTTCTTAGACAGTTATAACCTCTTTTTCCCTTTAGAGAACATTAGTTATGTTTAAAGACAGTCATATAGTCTACATTTTCCCATTAACACCAACCTATTGGCATATGCTAATACTAAGTAACTAACATTGAGATTGCGAGTATTCCCCACTGTCTCTGTAAACTTTTTGAAATGCCTGAGCCATAAAGCCTCTCACTTGAGGCTTCATGTTCACTTTTGATCAGTATGCTGGTTAGATTTTTTTTTTTTTTTTTTTTTTTGGTCAGTTTGACACAAGTTGATCAGCTCAAGTGATCTGGAAAGAGACAGCCTTAACCTACTGATTGCCTGCATCAGATTGTAGGCAATTTTGTGGGGACATTTTCTTTTTTAACAATTGATGTGTGACCCCTCCCACCCCAGGGGGGCCAACCAGGTGGTCCTGGGTGGTATAGGAAAGCAGACTGAGCAAGTGCTTAGAGTTAGCCAGTAAGTAACATTCTTGTATGGCCTCTGCCTTGTCTTCCTTCAATGATGGGCTGTCGCTTGGACACGTAATCCACACAAACCCTTTCACTATCAAGTTGGTGTTACTCAGGGTCTTTATCAGAGAAATCAAGCTAAAACAGCTGATTTAATTGTAACCTACTTGGCTACTCTGGTACTGGCAAGACATTTTAGGTAGGAACCCCTCTCAAGACTCCCAGGAACTTTGCATTCACTTGAAACTGCTTGGACTAGAAACTGTCCTGTTTGGTAGAAATGAGCATATTATTTCCTCAGTTAACTCTGTTTGCTTAGAAAACTACTGCTTAGACTAAACAAAATATCACAAAGTCTGTTAAGACAATGTTTGTACCAATATTTATTAATAGAGTCTTTGATCGGGGAGTATTTTATTCTTCAGTTTCCCCCATTAGTCTTTATTCTTTTATTTACATTAAATCCCACTAAAAGAGGGCTGATGCCCTACCAGCTATTCAGAATTCATCAAACACCCAGTACCAATTTGAGCTCAGCTAGGATTCATGTTATAACACAACTTAATTAGATTTGCATGGCTTTGATAAATAGAGTTCATATATATCAATGTATGTATGTGGATATATATGCATATATTACAGGAGGCATGTGCATATATGATTTCTCTAGGGGAGGCTTCTAATCAGTTTAGAAGCTTGATGACTGTGAAGGCTACTCTTGGTCTTCAACCAGCTTGATCATATCTGAGATCAACTAAATGCAGACTGCTGGGAATTCCTGTGATGATTTTTTTAAAAATGATTTATATGTATGAATATTTTGCTGCATGAGTGAATGTGTGCCGCGTGCACACTTGATGCCCACAGAGATTAGAAGTCGGCACTGGACACTTGGAACCCGGAGTTATGGATAATTGTAAGCGACCATGTGTGTGCTCAGAACTAAATCAAAATCTTCTGCAAGGACAAGCGCTTTTAACTGTTGAGCCGTCTCTCCATCCTGTGAGGTATTTTCCTCATTAGATTTGAGGTGGGAAAAACCACCCATGTGTAGGCTGCAAGCAACTTTGCTTTCTACCCGTTTGTCTTTTTTCTTTTCATCTATTCTGTGTCTGCTGCATTCCTTTTCTCATATTAGAACCAGCTTCCTCAATTTTCTAAGGCAGATTGCATATCAGCAGCTCTTCAGGAATAGTGTAGACCTTTGGCACTAGATTCGGATTACTGAGACATCAGCCTCATGGACTGAGAAACTCTTGGATTCTCGGTCTCTGCAGTGTGAAAAAGAATTTGTTTGACTACCCAGATCATATCATGTAAGTCAGTCTAATAAAGCATCCTTTTAAATATATTTATATTATATTATAATATATACATTATGCTAGATAATGTATATACATATACCTATGTGCCATCACTTCTGCTCATCTAGAGAACCCTGACTAACATAATGATTGTTTCTTATTTATTGTCAGCCTTCTAGAAACATGATCTTAGACTTGTTTTTCAGTTGCTCTGGTTAGAAAAGTTTGGCAGCCCCAGTGAGATGAATTTGTTTTATGTGGGTCCAAACCAGAGTAGAGAAACAAATATAATGAAGCTCTTCATTTGTATCTACATGATGCCCTTTGTTCCACTGCCCATACCATTTTCTAATTGTCATAGCCTTCAGTTACAAACTGTAATTTGAAAGGAATAGAATAGGTATTTTGTTATTCTCCATTTATCCAAATATGAAGGTAAGCAATACATTTAATTATAAAGTATTATGTATATATGTATAGCAGGTCCTTCTACACATAATTGCAGTTTCTTTTGAATTGTCTTTAAGGGTGCTTTTTACACACAGAGGATGCAAAACACAAAGTTCTTTCTCTATACAGTTGCCACATAGAAACTAGCGACTGTTACAAGCAGTAAGGGAGGTTTGGATGGGTGGACAGGACATGGAGAGGCCTTACCATCTACATATGTAAAACAGGAAACTACTTAGTTATTAGTATGGAAACAATGAAGGAAACTATTACTTCCTGAAAAGTATTTTAAAGTACTTTATTGCCTGACTGTGCCACTTTTTTTTTTTTTTTTTTTTTTCATTAAACGATCAACTATCTGAATTTAGGTTTGCAGAGCAACAATCGCAACACTAAAATACTCACTAGGGAACGGCCAGAGCTACTGAGACACAGCTGTCAGGATAAGCTGTCTGCCCGTCTGCCTGTCTGCCTGTCTATCTGTCTGCATACATGTATTTATGATGTTTTAAAAGGCGCAAAGCATCACATCCAGGAGCCCAAGGTGTGAGGTGTATCCATTACTATCAATTGCAGGGGGAAACCAGCTCTCAAACATGTAAACATGGAACAAATGGTAGCCGCATGGGACTGAACCAAATACCGAGAAATACAAGCATTTGTTCAGTGTATGATTATGTTGACAGAAGGGCCCTGGCATTTCATTTTAAGCGTTACCAGACGTGTTTCCTTTTATATGGACATCAAGAACACAGTCCCAGAAACGGATGAACATTGGGAGAGGATGGCAGACATGAGGTTGTCATTAAAATGGAGACACAGCTACACGGAGAAAAAGTGACTCAGACAAAATTGAACAGCTGAGTTCTTTACAAAGGTTTATGGAGAAACTTGTTTGGAATAAAAAGGTGCAAAACAGGTTAGTATACCCCATTTGTCGTGGCACGATCAACAGAGACTATTTAGCCAAAGTTGTCCACTATTTGCTTTCTCATCAGCCTGATGTTTGATCTGGAATCCCTCTAGAACTAAAAGCAAAAAGGGAAACATTTCAGAAATTTAGGAAGTTTTAGTTGGCAACTAGTTTACTCTTCGCCTGTCCTGTGTGAGGTTACCCTTCGTCTCAGAAGCTAGGGGACTGTCGCTCTTTATTTGACAGCCAACAAGGAACATGGTCTTGGACCTATTTGGCTGCTGTCCTGGCAGCCCTAGGGAGATGCATTTCTTAAGCCTGGGGCCCGCCCAGAGCCGAGAAGCACCATCCTGGCAGCCTGTACTCTGTTGCTATGAAACAAAGACTAGGAAGGTGAGTGAGGCAGGAAGTCCCGCCTTTTAGCCCCAGTTGGCTTGGACTCCCGCTCGGGGCGCTCACGCCCACCTGCACACCCCTCATTGGTTAGCTCCCCGGCGCCTTGCCGCTTCTTTCCCGGTTCCTTTCCTGGTCCCACTTTTGTTCCAGGCCAGCCTAGGCCCGTTTCCCTACGAGTTGTTCTCCAAGTGGGACGCGGACGAGCGGGCCTTCCTCTGGGGCCATTGTGTACCGTGGAGGACGTGGACCTGGGGGTAGCGCGGGAGGAGAGGATCGTCCCGCCCATTGGCTCCGCCCGCTGTCTGGCAGAGAGCGGGCCCTCGGGATTGGCCCGGCGGCCCGAGGCTCCGCCTTAGCTCCGCCCCGCGCCTTGGTCTCCGGGGATGGCTCAGGGGTGGGGTGGCCAGTGAGTGGTCTCCTCCACCGGCGGGCGCTGCGGCGGCCTCCCGAGAGTGGCGCGGGACAGCCGGGCGGGCGTGGAGCTGTCTGCACGGTAATTGCCGCGTCCCCGAGTCTCGGTGTCCCGAGATCCCGGTGGCTCCTTCCCCGGAGCGCGCTCTTCGGGCGATTCCACTGAGTCCCCGCCCGAGCCACCCCAGCCAAGGCAGCGTGTGTGTGCTGTGCGTGCGTGTGGGGGACCCACGATCACGCGTGGCTTGGGACGGCCCGCGGTGACCCGAGTAGAGGAGAGAGCGGGTCGCCCCGAGGTCGATCGCCGCTTGCTGGCCCGGAGCCCTGCAGCTGGGAGCGGGCCATCAGGGAGAGGGGACAGCCCTGGCTTCCAGCTGCTGTCGCCACTGCGGGCCTGAGCCAAGTGGGGATTTAAAGAGCAGTCCCTGGCTGGCCCGGGGCCCGGGAGGGAGCGGACTCAAGCTGATCGCAGCTGGTAGGAGGTGCGTGCGACCGGCGCGGGATCCGCCAGGCTGTGGGACTCCGGAGCCAGGACGGGGTCTTAGGGCTACTTTATCCTCGCTGCGTTCCCGGTCCCTTTCCCAGAGTCCTGAGTGGCTGGGCTGGCGGGAGGCCAGAGCCAGGAAGGGGCACAGGCGTCTTGAAACAAAGCTTTGGATCTCTCGATCCCGGGTAGGCACACTCGGGGCCACCCTAGAAGTGAACTCCGCTGTGCGTGCCCGCCCTCACTGGGTTCTCACCGCTCTTTAAGAAGGGGTTGCTTGTTCGTTTGTTTATTTGGCTCTAGGGAAAAACTACTCACCGCATTGCTTTAAAGAAGTATTTGTGTGTCCGCGGCTGCTGGCTTTGGCCGGGGGGAAATCCAATCCTCCGCCTTTGTTGACAACAGACGTGTCCCTTATGTTATGCGTGTGCGGAGCACTTTGCGTTTATGTAATAACTTGGCGAAATCTAACGGCTTGAAGGGGGGGGGGGTTATGAGTGAGGTCCCCAATATAAATTTTAGGGGTTGCAGCTCTCATATTTTGAATCAGGATTACAGCAGAAGGGGGAGAACCTTGTGTTCTCAGCTGTTAAAAGTTGCTTTGTTGGTGGTGGTGAGCTGTGGCTGCGTGGAACACAGGAGGAGGAGGATGCAACTTTAACTTCTCCTATTGTAAGAGCAAACTCGGGTCCTAGCTCTTAACTTGGAGAAGGCAGTTACACAAGGTTGACTAAGAAGTTGAATCAGGGACCCTCAGTTGTATCTCAGAGATGGCGTAGATTACCATTAGTGCCTGTTCACTTCAGTTTCCTGTTGGGGGAAATACTTTCCTACCCAGCTAACTTTTTTTTTTTTTTTTCTTTTCTTTAAAATTTGCCTTGCAGAAAGGACTTAGATTCCAGATGGCAAATTCCATGAATGGCAGAAATCCTGGTGGTCGAGGAGGAAACCCCCGCAAAGGTCGAATTTTGGGGATTATTGACGCTATCCAGGATGCAGTTGGACCCCCAAAGCAAGCTGCAGCTGACCGCAGGACTGTGGAGAAGACTTGGAAGCTCATGGACAAAGTGGTGAGTTCAGTGTGTGTGCATGGCCCTGTTCACCCTGAGCGCAGGCTCTCCAGGTTTAGTCTCTACATATGGTTAATAATCATTACTATGACATTCATCTTTTGATTTGTGTTGGGCCATTTTTCTTCAGCGCTGAGTTTGCAAAAGTTGCATTCAGAGAAAAGATTTTTTTTTTCTTTTAACCCTTTGTCTTGCTTCTGAAGATCCAGAGTCTCTGGGTATTACCCAGGACATCTAGAGTTTTTACCGTCGTCTACTCTTGGTGGGTGTGTGGGTATGGTAGGGTTTAGAAGTTTGTTTAGTCTTAGGTGGGGTTCCGTTGTTGCTAGATAACAGAAGGCTGAAAGCAAGCAAGTGGACAAAAGTCTCTGCTGGAGCACACTTAGGACAACGGCATGTGTGATGTTGGAACATCCACTGTGGACCATTCGGTGAGGAAGCAGTATTTCAGAGTTTCCATTTTTATCAGTGTCCACTCATCTTTTCAAGATCTTTGTGTGCGTGGGTTTTTGTTTGTTTGTTATTATTATTATTATTTTTTTGCTTCATTTACTATTTACAGTATCATTATGGTTTCTTTTCCTCTACTATTCCATTTTGAAGCAGGGAACCTTTTTGCTTATACCTTGTTTATTGTGAAAGGAAACCGTATGTTGGAGGTTGTGTGGGACTAAGAGTGTCAGAAAGTTCTGTGGTTTTTCTTCATGCTTTTAGATGAACTCTAGTTTCACAAGAAGAAACCAAACTGGATGTCAGTTCTCAGAAGAGTCCAGTTAAAAGGGCAGTGCGAGCCCCTCAGGGGGCCCTTACTGTACAGCTCGCTGTTTGAGGAGGCTTGTGAGACAAATATGGTGGCTTGCTTCTCTTCCCAAATTTTATCATTTTGAAGCAGTTAGACTATGCTGCATTTTAGAAGGATGAGCCAAAGCTTGTTTGAAATCATATGGTGGCATTTACCTTGGCTTTGGTTTGCTACTAAAGACAAAATTGGCTACAACAAAACCACTGAGTAGTAGTAACAATCCTGGGAGGTGACACTGTTTGCTTTATTTTCATGTATCCTTATGGAGGCTGGAGCTAACTGAGCTGTGGGCTTGGCATTGGGTGGCCACTGTTGTCAGATGCAGCACCAGAATACATTTTTTACCAGGTGAGTGGCCTTGGTTTTTGGCCTTCAGTGTGACCCATTTAAGCTTCTGCCAATTTTTTCAAATTGTTATATTAAAGTGCTCCAGACAGAATGATGTCATGATGTCAGAACATTGTAACTTGCTGCTTGGGGTCAGGTTTTGGTTTTAGAATGAAGAATGAAGAATATGCAGTTGGAAAAACTGCATCTTTCTGGCAAGCACAGTATGAGCCATTTTTGCTTTTCTACAGAGTACGTGTTTGAAGGTCACCCTTATTGCCTGAGTCATTAGTTGGTAGTAGGAGAAGAACTTCAAGGTTTGTTCCAGTTTATCTGTTGCATAAGTGAATAACAAATGGGTCCGATTTCACAAGAGATGGTCTGTCCGCATCATTGCTTGAGATGGCTGGCATTTGTGTATTTGTGATTGAGGGCTAGAACATAAAATATATTAAAAAAAAGATTTATATAAGGAAGTGGTGAGCAAAAGTTATGTCAAGTCATTAAGGAAATAGTAAAAGAAGTGGTATGCATAATTTTGCTGTATAACTGCCTGTTAGCCTACACATTAACTGCTTCTAATTATTTCACCATGAGTTATAGTAAATGGATGGTTATTTGACATTTAAACACCTGCCATTGTCTATCATCTCTTTTGTGGGTTTAAACTTAGCTTCTGTAGTTGAGTCTGACACCTAAGAACTCTCTTACCCCAAGTCTGTACTTAGTGGGATGTGGATGCCAATGTTGGCAAAGTTGCAGCAATACGGCTTTCCCTATTCATCTCCATTATTTGTCATAGATGACAACGTAAATGCATCTGTGGCTTTGTGGAGAAAACTCACATTTGTCATGAGAGTTTGCTACATGTCCTTCTACTCTTAACACACACTAAGAGAAGGACACTGAACATTAATTATATTAATTGGCAACATGTTCTTGAAGGTTGTACGCAGAAGTCTTTCCAGCATGCGTTTGTCTCGACAGTGATGAAGGAAGTGGCTCATACTATCATCAGCATTGCTGATGATTCTTGAGGAACTTTATTGCTGGTACAGACATATTACCATTTGATGAATGTTCTGGCTTTTGAGAAGTAGCTACAATGGTGTAAATTTACATTGTGAATACAGAACTGAGGTTTTGAGGTCTAAGAGGTTGTTAAGCAAAAGTCAGGTTTAAGTGTGAAGTTGTACAGTTTTCTTTATGAAGCCCCTTGTCTTGAGGAGGTCTTCATAGTGTTGCCTTCAAGTAGCTACTAACTTGTTTTAGAGGGGACAATGATGCTTTGGGCAGTAAGTGAATAGCTTTTTCATTTCTTGCTCTCTAGAGCTTAAGATGATCAACTGAGATTTCAGACTTCAGTTGCAACAAATTGTTCTGTTTTCCCAGAGCAAGCATTCTTTCCAAGGTCACCAAGTATAAGAGAAAGCAATTGCTCCTGTGTTCTTTGCAAGATATGTAATGTTTTGTAATCAGTAACACAGAGTTCACATAGTGCATGAACTGAGAAAGTGACTAGTGGCAGAACCAAAGGCATCCCATTTAGATAGTTTTCTGGTCTTAGCTCTTCCTATCAGTTTAAGAGCCTCAAACCATCAGGTCATTGGATGTCTCATTGATAACACTGGCAGAACTATTCTTGAGTACACATTTAGGTTTAAATACACACAAAATCAAATGAGGAGTTTGTTCCAAAATTGTTAAAGCATGGTTTCCTAAACACTTAATAAACACTGAGAGACCATTGTGTGTTACAAAGTGATTATTACTGGGGGAGACTAAGTGAGACATAGCCCTATCTTTGGCCTGTAAACCAAGAGGACAGTATCTGAGGTGGACATTAATTGGTAATTGCCATGGGGTATAAAAAAGGCTGGGGTATGGACTTGAACAAACCACAGTGGAGGCATAGGAGAGGATCTTCCCTTGTTCTAGACACTGGATTTCTGTCTGGATTCTGCTGCCCCAGCCTTTTAGGAACAGCATTATTGTACTCGGGTTGGAAATGCTGGAGCGAGGTTAAGGAAATGGTTGCTAATCGGTGTGGTTGGAATCATAATTTATTAATGTGAGGTTCCTGAGTGTGGTTTGCAGAGAGTCTGAGCCAGGTGATGGAAAACAGAAAAAACATTTTCCTTCTAATAGATGCTAAATGCACTGAGTGTACATGGATGGCTGGGAGTTTAGAAAATAATTAATTGATGATAAAGAGCAAAGCAAGCTGAGGACCTGCCTATGCTTTTTCTCTTGCTGCCCCGGCCATTTATTTGAAGTTACATTGGTATATAAGTGTTAAAAGCACTTAGAAAGTGATGATACCACCTAGCATTTCCCTGCCTTTTACCCACACTACACCACTTAGATTTGAAAGAATTTATTCTCTCTGTGTACAATTTCACCAGAATGAAATTTAAAGTTTGTCAATCAATGATGCATAAGTTATACATATAAATATTTTAAAAATAATATTACTTCTTAATAGTTGAACTTCTTAAAAGTTTGTCATGCATCTGAGAAAGATTCTACAAGATTTAAAATAGAGTTCCCCTTCCCTGACCAGTACTGGCTGTTAAAGCCACACTGAGCAGCTGTGCTACTCAGGCCTCAGTTACTTCCCTAGGGTATTTCTAACTTAAATATTTTTTTTTCTGTATTCTTTGGAGACAAGGTCACTGTAAATTGTCCAGATAGTTTTTGAACTCACTCTTGTAGCCAAGCTAGGCCTTGAACTTGTGGTCCTTCTGCCTCAGCCTCCAGAGTAGCTGAGATTATAGACCTGTATCATCAGCCAAGAAAGTTTGGATGTTACTTCTTTTACTCTGTCTTTGATAAAGGGAATAACATTGATTTGAATTATCTGTGTGTGTGTGTTTTGTTTTTGTTTTTGTTTTTCTCTTGAAGTCATTCATTAGTAGAATTCTAAGCCCTATTAAATCTTGATTGGGTATAACAACACATTAGTCGTTTGGGCGATTTTGCTTATCACTGAGTTAGATTTTGAATTTGTGCTGACATAATAGGTATGCTTCTAAAGATTGCTACTAGTAACACCTAGGAAAATTTACTGAAGTGAAAGTTTTAAAGAGAATCTGTCAAGAGTTAATTGGCCTAATGCTATAATGGAAAGGAGACATATAATGGAAATTTTAGTTGGTTAATCATTTTTTATCTCTTAAAATATTTTAACATTTAGATTTCACCTTCTTTCAAAAGTTGATTATATGCTGTCAATTTCCTTACCTTCCTCTCCCCACCCCCCAATTGTCACTCTGTACAGACATCATTTCTAAATACTATCACATAGTATATTAAATAAGTGCTATGACATGGTGTAAATTGTGTACTAGTATGGAGGTGACTTGCTTGCTGGAGGTGAGAAATTGTGTTCTAGTTTGAACTCGTGGACTGTAAAGCTTATTTGTGTGAAGGAGTGGAGAGAGATTGTTGAGTAAGAGAGTGTAAAGTAAAAGAGGATGACAAAACTTTTGATATTAAAAAAATGGATTCTAGTTATTTGGTTGGCATATAAAATAAAATTTCTGCTCATGGAGAGAGAGAAAAAAAGGCTCGTCTTTTATATTCCAGCTGACTCTGAAGTTGGATTAATGCAAAAGATGATTAGGAGGAGGAATTAAAGCAATTTAAGAACGTATAAAGACCTCCTCTAGAGACCTGACAGTTGTCTTAGCATGTTGCAAAAGTGGAAGGCTTTTGGAAGAAAAGCTACAGGTCTGGGAGAGTCTTGAGGGTTGAAGAATGAAAGAGAAAGTGAAGTGAAAGTGACTTGAGGTTTTCAACCTGGTTGACTCTGAAGGCAGTGGAGCCCCTAATGAGATGGGGCACCGGAAGGGGAAGGCCGAGCTTTAGT